CAGCCCCTCTCCCTCCACTTCTATCTTTTTGAATAAATTAAGTAGTATTGGATGTAGATCTTCTTTACATGTCTGGTAGAATTCTGCTGTAAATCCATCTGGTCTTGGTTTTTTTTTTAAGTCAGGTGGTATTGTATTGCTGTTTCAATTTCCTTATGTGTAATGGGTCTGTTTAAGCTATTAATCTCTTCTTGGTTTAGTTTTAGTGGTTCCCATGCTTTTAGATATCCATCCATTTCTTTTAGGTTTTCAAATTTAGTAGCATATAGGTTTTTAAAGTATTCCCTTATAATGTTCTGTATCTTTCTGGTGTCTGTTGTGATGTTTCACCTTTCATCTCTGATTTCATTGATTTGGAGATGCTCTTTCTTTCTTTTGGTTAACTGGGCTAGCAGTAAGTCAATCTTGTTTATCTTTTCAAAGAACCAGCTCTTGGATTCGTTGACTCTTTGTATTGTTTCCTTTGTTTGTATTTCATTAATTTCTGCTCTGATTTTTGTTATTTCTTCTTGTCTGCTGGGTTTGGGTTTCATTTGCTTTTGCTTTTCAAGTGTCTTGAGTAGCAATGTTAAGTCATTTATTTGTGTTATTTCCGATTTTTTGATGTAGGCACTTAGAGCTATAAACTTCCCTCTAAGAACTGCTTTCAGCATGTCCCAGAGGTTTTGTTGTATTGTATTGTCCTTTTCATTTAGTTCCAGGAATACTTTTATTTCTTTCTTAATTTCTCCTTTGGCCCATTTATCATTCAGGAGTGTGTTGTTTAATCTCCATGGGTAGTTATGAGGGTTTCTTCTGGTGTTGATTTTAAGCTTTATTGCATTGTGGTCTGATAGAATGCATGGAATTATTTCAATCTTTTTGTATTTGTTGAGGTTTGTTTTGTGCCCCAGTATATGATCCATTTTGGAGAAAATTCCATGGGACGCTGAATAGAAAAAGTTCTGTAGTACTGTTTTTATGAAGTTGGGTGCACCAGAGTTTGGTGAATATATATTCATGATTGTAATATCTTCTTGGTCAATTGTTCCTTTGGCTAGAATGAAGTGGCCCTCTTTATCTCTTCTGATTAGTTTTAGTTTAAAGTCTATTTTGTCAGATATTAGAATTGTAACATCTGCTTTTTTCTTAGTACCATTCACTTGGTATATTTTTTCCATCCTTTCACCTTAAGGTAGTGCCTGTCCTTGAAAGTGAATTGAGTTTCTTGCAGACAAAAAAAAAGATGGTGTTTGTTTTTAATCTACTCAACTAGTCTGTGTCTTTTGACTGAGGAGTTCAGTCCATTGAAATTTAAAGTTATTAATGAAAGACGTGTATTGATTCCTGTCATTTTCATTTCTGTTCACATTCTTGATGTAGCTGTACATTTCTACAGTTATACCTTCATTAAGTTTCTTTCCATAACCCCTTGGGTATAGTCGTTCCTTTCTTTAGCTCTTTGTATTGCTTCAAGAACTCTCTGAAGGCCTGGTTTTGTGGACATGAATTCTTTCAGCCTATGTATGTCATGGAAGATTTTTCTTTCCTCTTCAACTATAATAGACATTTTGGCTGAGTAAAGCAATCTGCGTTGGCATCTGTTTGGTCCAGGCTCTTCTGGCTTTCATAGTTTGCATTGATAAGTCAGCTGTAATTCTGATGGGTTTTCCTTTGTATGTGACTTGTTGATTTTCTTTTGCTGCTTTCAGTATTGTCTCTTTGTTCTGTACATTTAGTGTTTTTACTATGATGTGCCGTGGAGAGTTTCTTTTCTGGTCCTTTCTATTTGGTGTTCTATATTCTTCTTGTATTTGTATGGTCATGTCTTTCTTTAATTTTGGGAATTTTTCTTCTACAATCCTGTTGAAGATCTGGTCAGTATCATTATCCTGATATTCTTCTCCTTCCTGTATGCCTATGATTTGTAAGTTTGGTCTTTTTATGGTATCACAGAATTCCTGCATATTCCATTCTTGTGTTTTCTAAATTTTCCATAATCTTTGCTTGAGTGGTCTAATTCGTCCACTTTATCTTCCAGTCTTGATACTCTGTTTTCCATTTCATTCATCCTATTGGTGAGGCTTTCTCCTGTCGTTTCTAATTGGCTTACTGAGTGTTTCACTTCCTTCTTCATTTCAGCCTGAGTATTCTTCAATATTTCTAACTCTTTTCTGAATTCATTCAGAAGTTTATCCCTATCTTCCTTCAGTTCTTTGATTTCTTTGTGTGTTCTTTAAATTCACTGAATTCTTTTATCACATTTATAATTGTTCTTTGAGTTCCATGTCCTGTGTTATCTCTAGGGGCTTCTCATTGTACTCCTCTAGAGGACTGTTGGTACTTGGTGGAAATATATTATTTTGGTTTTTCATGTTATTATTTTTTCTATGTAACTTTGACATGTGGCTTTCTTTTGTAGTTTCTGATTCTTGTGTGAGACTCAAGCCTTCCTTTGTTGAGTTTAGGTCTGCTTCTTTTTGTAAACTTTATGTGCCTTTGTGGTTTACTTGGGCATAAAAAGCTGGTTGGTCTATACTTCACATTCTCTCTTTGTATTTTATATTGGAGTCGCCAAATTGTTTTTGTTTTCAGGAGTTCCCACAGAGGCCCAAGTCAGATGAGGATCAGATGCTCTCATGTGTTCCCCTAAGGTCTGGATCCCTCCGGGAAAGATGCTGCCCTGAGGAATTTGGGGGCTGGGCTGGCCTGGGATCAGGGCCCAGGAAAGATGCTGGCTCAGGACTCAGGAGTTCCCACAGAGGCCCAAGTCAGATGAGGATCAGATGCTCTCAGGCTTTCTCCTAAGGTCTGGATCCCTCCAGGAAAGATCCTGGCCTCAGGAATTTGGGGACTGGGCTGGCCTGGGAGCAGGGCCCAGGAAAGATGCTGGTCCCAGGAAGCTGGTGGCTGTGCTGCTCAGGGATTCTAAGGGAGGTTGTGGCGGGAACCAACCCAGAGGGTTCCTGGGGACTACAAGGAGGCATTGGGTTGGTTTGGATGCAAAGGATCAGGAAACAGTGGGGATTCTGGGCCAAGAGGTCAGTCCAGGGGTGTGCGGTGCCAAGACAAGAAATGGGCCAGTACCCAGGCTAGGAGGAGAGATGGGAGGGTGAATGAGGCTGGGGGAGTCAGGGCGCAGTGGGTGCAAAGGAGCTTGCCCAGGAAAGATTCTGTCCCCAGGAAGCTGGTGGCTATGCCTGCTTTCTTATACAACATAGGGCCACTTCCCAGGGGCGGCACTGCGTACAGTGAACTGAAACCTCCCACATTCAACAATCAAGAAAATGTCCCATGGACATAACCACAGGCCAAACCAATGGAGACAGCTCATCAGTTGAGGTTCTCCCTATCCAGATGTGTCAAGTTGACAACAGAAGCTATCCAGCACATTATTTTTACTTTACTTTACTTTTTTACTTTACTTTACCATACTTACCTTACCTAACCTTACCTTATTTTATTTTATTTTAGAGACAGGGTCATATGTAGCCCAGGCTAGCTACTCACTATGTAGCTAAGGATAACCTTGAACTTCTGACCCTCCTGCCTCTACTTCCCGAGTTCTAGGGTTACAGGCATGTGCAAACGCGCCTAGTTTATGCAGCACTAGAGACAGAACCCAGGGCTTCATGCAAGCCATCTATCAACTGAGCTACAGCCCCAGCCCTATTAGCTTTTTAAAAAAGTTTAAAAACAGCCCCAGTAGCACTTATTACATTTCCAATGTCTGGAGCCCTTCTGAGCCTTGCAGATAGGAAGGTCCATGTCCATGATTCAAGTTCCCTAAGAACTGAGTTTCTGATGTACAAAATAAGAATACAGTACTCACCATACACATAGTTAATATAAGAACCAGATTTTTAAAATTAGAGTGGAAAGTCACAGAAGTTTTGAGAAGGAACCAGGGAAGGGGCCTTTTAAGTCTAATCTATGGGGTTGTGATCAGGGCTACACGTGGTTAAAGTTGATCACCATATTTTTCAAGGTTTTTAGATAATTCTGTTACTTGTACTACGATAAATACTCACTGATGCCATTGTTTATTTTAAAGCAGGTTTTTTTGCAGTCATAGAAATCTCTTAGAAAATAGCAAAATCAGGTCAGATTCCAGTCCACCTAGATCTCTTAATATGACACATAGTTCCTAGGCCTGGAAGGACCTTTCAGACTACTGCACTCCTATACTATTATATTAAAATATCATCAACATGTATAGCCTTAAGACCTTAAGACCAATGACTTCCAGAAACCATACAGAAAAACACAAATATCAAATTTCCCATTTTGTTTTGTTTTGTTTATGATGGTATAGACCGAGCCAGGGCCTGGAGATGCCAGGCAAGTGCTCCACCGCTGAGCCATATCCAGCTGCTGTTTTCCTTTTTAAAAATATTTTATTTAGTATTTTCATTTTATGTGTACCAGTGTATTGCCTGCATGTACGTGAGCGCACCCGTGTCGTGCAATGCCACGGAGGTCAGAAGAGGGCTTCGGATTCCCCTGGAACTGGAGTTAAGGACGGTTAGTAGCCACCATGTGGGTGCTGGAAATCGAACCCAGGTCCTCTGCAAGAGCAGTCAGTGCTCTTAACCGCTGAGCCATCTCTCCAGCCCCTTTTTCCTTTTTAAAGGTTTTTCACTGACCTGAGATAGCCCATGAAACAGGAAGTCATGGTGCTGCAGGTCCAGGCTAAGGCAAGGGCTCCTCAGAGGTACTGCCAATTTTCTGCAGGTAGAGGTAGTGTTCAGCTCCTACAGAAATAAACAAAGTTATTTTTTTTAGCATCATTTGCTTAGGAAAACTTTAGAACACAATCAAGTAAAGAAACTGGAATTAAACGATTGAAAGAGGGTCAGTGAACTAACTCAGCAGGTAAAGGCACTTGCTACCAAGCCTGACAGCCTGAGTTCCATCTCCAGGCCCCACATGGTGGAAGGAAAGAACCAACTTCCGAAAGCTGTCCTTTGGCCTCTATGAGTGCCATGGTGCCTTTACATGTGTGTATGTGCACACACACACTAAAGAAAGAAATAAAATGTAATACATTTTAAAAATTCACAAATGGAAGATATTAAAAGAAAAATGGTACCACCCAGTTACAGGGATGAGGACTTCCCAGCTGGACGGTAATGCTGCATAAACATAGGTGACAACCTTCCAGGACCTTCAGAACAGTCCCTGACTGTGACAGTTCATCTTCATTATCAACTTGAGAGGATTGGGACTGTCCTAGAAGACACAACTCTGGGTGTGTCTGTGAAAGCATTTCCAGAGAGGTTTAAGAAGAAAAGAGCTACTCTGGATATAGATGGCATCACCCAGAGGTTAGGGTCCTGGACTGAACACAAAGAGAAACCCAGAGGAGCAGTATTCATCTCCCTGAGTCCTGACTGTGGCTAACATGTGACCAACTGCATTATGCTCCTTCTATCCTGCCTTCCCTACGACAACGGGCCATATCCTCTCAACCACACTAAACCCTTGGACTTCTTCTTGTCAGGGATTAGGTCACAGAAACAACAAAAGTGACGAATACACCAACCCATAGATGTTCAGTATGTTGCTGTCAACGTGACCTTGGGTTCTGAGTGGATGGAGGACGGGCAGCTGCATATGACTAGCTGCTTTACCGGGAAAGCCATTCTACATGTCTGAATCTTGATTTTGCAACTGTATAGTATGAGTGAAAATGCTAATGATGTCTAGCAATAAAGAGCAAGGAAGTACTGACACAAACTAGGACATAGATGAATCCTGAAAAGATCATTCTAGACAAAAGAAGCCCCCGCACGCACACACACACACACACACACCCCTACAGAGACATCAAGCAGATTCATTTTTGCCAGGGGTTGGGGGAGGAGAGGGAGGAGCTAATGGGAAGGGATAGTATTTCTTCCTAGGGTGATGAAAATGTACTAAAATTAATAGTAGTGATTACACAACTCTGTGAATATACTAAAAGCCATTGAATTACAGATGAAATTGGTAAACTATAAGATAGTAATTACATCTCAAAATTGCTTTTAAAATACTGCCTAGGGCTGAGGATGTAGCTCAGACATGGAACGCAGTGAGATACTGTTTCAAAAAAGTTTGGGGAGGGGACACGGTGGTACATGCCTGTAATCCCGGCATTCAGGAGGTAGAGGCAGAAAGATCAAGACTTCAAGGTCATCCTCAGCTACATATCAAATTTGAAATTATCCTGGGATACATGGGGGGGTACTACTACGGATGATTGTGAAGATTAAATGAGGAGACATGTGAAACATTCTTAGCCAGTGGCTGGCACAAAGTGACACCGAATAAAGAGTAGCTCAGATGATGCTAATGCAAGGAGAGGCAAAGTGACATTTAAATATGTTATTCCCCAAAAACTAGGCAGGTAAAGCTCCTTACCTACAAATTCCACTTAATTTGGATGTCCTCACTGGACAGAATTTCCAAACGTTAGCGGGCAAGCCAACAGTTTAGAAGCAAAGTATAAACAGCAACAGAAAGGCCTGGCCTGGAGGCTTGGCTGGAATGTACCAGAGTTTGAGAGGAGAGCAGAGCCTGACCAGCCCTCCTCCCACTGCTCATTGCAGAGAAGGCAAACGCATGAAGCTGGGTGAAGGGGTGCCAGGATTCTCTCACACAAAGGCAGAGTTTCCGAAAACCAACGATCATTGCTCTCTGCCTTCTTCCTAGGACTAGGGAGATCAATTACAGGGATTTATTTAAAAAGACAGTCATGAGAATTGGACATGTCTATTCACAAGGGAAAAGAATCCAGATTTTAAGTTACCACCAGCCCTTTCTGGGGGTTATTAAGAAGGGAAAGCCTCTTAACTGTAATCACCCCTAATTAGCCATCAGCAGCTCATGAAATTACTCATGGTATTGAAGACCCTTACAGTCTTGGCTGTCAGCCAGAAGCTACACTGTGATCCACCAGGAAGAAGGCCAGAAAGTGCAAATTGGAACAGTTAAAACCTGCCTAAATCCTAGGCACAGCTTTCTGGCTGTTGGTTGCTGGGCATGTATACACCAAGTCAGGGGACTTAACTTGAAAGTCAGGTGAAGCCTTTGCCAAGTTCCTAATGACCACTGGCTAATTAACAGTTATTTACTCAACAAGAGATGTGCTTGGGTCCTCTCTATAGTGCCCTGGCAGAAGAGGAGGGAATCATCAAGATTAACATATGAGGACTGGCAAGACAGCGAAGTGGTCAGAGACACATGCACACAAGCCCCCATGACCCGAGTTTACTCCTGAGATCCCACAAGGTACCAGGAGAGAGAACTGACTTTGAGAGCTGTCCTGTGACCTCCACATACATGCACACACACACACACACACACACACACACACACACACACAC